ACACTCTCAAAAGAAGCTTGATATTAAAGGCCGCACTGCACGTCTTGCCAAGACAAAATAGACCAGGTTCTAATTTGAACAGGGGCCCCTTGAGAAAAAAAAAAAAAAAAAAAAAAAGGAAAGGCCCAACGATTGAACCCTGTGGGACCCCTCAGCGAGCACGGAACAATTCCCCCCACACCCTTCATCAGTCTCATCAAGGCAAGATCTTCCAAGAAGCCAGTGTTCACTTGAGAAAATGTCTCTCGTTGGCAGGTCTCGACATGACTATAAAACGCAGGCGAGGGAGGAACTTTGGTTTGAGCTGTCTCACTCTCTCTTTTTCCTCTCACTAGGTGTTCCCACTATCCCCTACACACATGTGCCAGGTCTCATCAATTTTCAGACATAATATTTCAAACTGCTCTCTCCATTTCAAGAAATCCAGCACTTTGTCGGGAAAAGAAAACAACTGAAAGCTTAAAGACAGGCTCACAAGCACCCATGCTATGTGATATGAGCTCCGAAAGGTAACAATTGTTCCAAATCTCAAACCAGTGACTTGCAATACAGCGATCTCTAACACAACTTCATGCAAGGCAAAAGTCACACCATCAAGCATATCTTTTTTTTTTTTTACATTTGAGTTGGAAACAGCTGGATGGCATTTGTCAGGTGAAATCCATGGATAGAGAACAGATGTGTGTGTATTTCAACCACATATCAGAGACAAAGGCTTAGCCACACAGCCTTTTGAAGATCACTGGCACACAAGAGCTTTTCGCCTCTCTAGGCCCACTGGGTGGCAAGCCAGTTGAGCACTTCCAATATGTCATCCTTCTCCCTCTCGAGGCCTGGGACTTGTCATGCCTAGCGCCTGCCACAAAGACTCCACCTTAAGGTGAGAAAAACTCAGAAAATGCATAGAAATGTTAAAGAAAGCAAAACCACTTTCTTTAAAATAAGTGTGACACTGATAAGGACGTGGTGCTACTCCATAGCATACTGACCTAGGCCGCGGGAGGCCACATCTGTAGCAATGAGGATTGGAGCTTTGCCATATCGGAACTCTGAAGAAGGAGAGACAGTATTCTTTTTAAATTTAAATTACAGGGCACCCAGTGAAGATGAATCCTGTGAATATTCTTAAAATTTTACTGGCTTCTCACCATTAAGGACCCAGTCCCTCTCCTGCTGGCTCTTGTCTCCATGAATTCCCATTGCTGGCCACCTGTGACAGACCGATTGAGCATTAAACATCATAAACAGCTTGAACAAAATTCAGTGTGTTTGTGTCCAATAGCCAACAAGGAGGAGCAATGAGAACATGAACTTTACAGATTAAAAAAAGAATGAACAGCTTTGAATGGATGGGAGATGTGGAGATCCTTACCCATCTCGTCTCATCCTCCTGGTGAGCTCATCACAACGCCTTTTGGTCTCCACAAAGATGATGGTCTTGTTCTCCTTTTCACTCATAATCTCCTCCAGCAGACGGATCAGTCTAACAGAGAATACAACAGAGTGTTAGGCCAAACTCATTCTCATCACATAAATCGATCAACTAATACTGAAAGATAACTACTGACTTGTCCTCCTTCTCCATGTCATTGCAAACATCAACTATCTGCAGGATGTTGTGATTAGCACTGAGCTGTAGTGCTCCAATATTAATCTGGACATAATCCTTTAGGAAGTCCTCAGCCAGCTGGCGAACTTCCTTGGGCCAGGTGGCGCTCCACATCAGAGTCTGGCGGTCTGGCTGGTTAGGACAAGAGAAAGGACTTGTAAAACTTGTAATTTTGGCTGCTTAGATATTTATCAGTTGGATTTTTTAAGAATGCACCAGTTGGACATTACAGTGTCAGGAGAAAGGTTTCTGAAGCATGAGTATTGATAACCATATTCTGCGTGACAATTTCATTTTTGACATCCTTTTCAAAAATGTTAATCTGTGCAGGTGAAATAACAGCGTACCCTGATTTGTTCAACTATCTTGCGGATTTGCGGTTCAAATCCCATGTCCAGCATGCGGTCAGCTTCATCCAACACCAGATAGGTGCAACGCCGCAAATTAGTCTTACCACACTCCAGGAAGTCAATGAGACGACCTGGGGTAGCGATGCAAATCTCAACACCTTAAAAAAAGAAGAAGAACAAAACCAACCCGTAAAGAATAATTCCATTTAGCTGTTTTACAAACATAATAGATAACATACTGTATGTGCAATACTAAAGAAATTCCAAATTAATATAGTAAGATGATACTTAAATATAAAACAGAGCATACCCCTCTCAAGGTCCCTGATCTGGGGTCCTTTGGGTGCACCACCGTAGATGCAGGTGCTCTTGAGACGGGAGGCCCGGCCATATTCAGCAGCCACTTGTTGCACCTGCTGAGCCAGCTCACGGGTTGGTGCCAGCACTAAGCACTGAATGAAGAGACATAACATGTTTTGTTTTCAAATAAATAACATCTATAT